GAGCTAAGCATCATTAATTAACGTTAGAAGTTAATAAAAATCTCTAATAATAACGGAAAAGATCGATGGGTTAATAATAATCCTTTGCCGTGTGGATATCTATACCTGATCATGGATTTACATAACGGTGATCACCAAGTCGCCGAGCTGATGTTGCCGAGAATCGGAAGGAGAAGAGAAGCCCAAAAATCAAAATAAGGTACCAAACCAGCTTCTTCATCATCTTCCTCATCTCCTTCTTCCAAACACACTTATAGAAGTTAAACGTTAAGCTCTTACGATTAACTCTCTTGTATAAGGAAGTACCACCACTTTGTGGCTTTATATAGACGTCGATGCGCACGTACACCCGAGAGATATAGATGATATAAATAGTATGTTTAGATAGTTGAAATTTAGTGTCTTCTTTTAAATTTTGTTATTATCAAATACTTCTTCAAATGTATTTGAAGAGATTAAAAAAATTAATCAAGTTAGTTATTTGTAAAAAAAAATATGTTTGTTTTCTTAAAATAATTTAGTTATTGACATTAAAAAAAAAAAATACTCCCTTGATATAGAAAATCTATGTAATTGGTATGTGTCGTCAATAGAGAGAACTACTTGGGAAAAGAATTATAAATTTGGGAGACAGAATGAATTACTGACATTTTATATTTAGGATCAAAGCAAATATCTTAGCTAACTTTTACATTTAGGACTAAAGGCATTATGATTTTTCAAAGACTTAAAACGAAATGAGAACCAAGACAAGGATACAGAAAAAGAATTGTTAAAATTAATTAATCTGACTATGAAATTGGGAAAATAGAGTAACTTGTATATTTCAACAACTACGTCACTAAAATGGGAACCACATCAAGTGTGAAGGATGATCGATTGATTCAGTGAAAAAATTTTCGTCCTAAAACTATGTTTTTTTAATGATAGATTGACGTAGTCTATTGTTTGAAACTTATTTTATACGCAATATCACTTAGGTGGTAGCTCCTGTCCTAAATATAAATTTAAGATTTTAATTCACTTTGTATTCTAAATTGATAATTTGTTCTAAAAAATATCCATATTGATTGTAAGGTATTTCTATCTAAGTATAATTTTAATGTTTATGATTGAATAAGAGTAATTTCGGAAAATCAACACACATTTGTTACAAATAACTAATTTAACTAATTGTCTTATCCTTAAATTAATTATCTAGTTTTTATATTAAGAACTTGAAGTAATACTAATTAATGTACTTGATAGGTTCTTGTGTATGTTGGAGATAATCTCTGAGAAATAACCAGGCTATATCCATTACTTGTAAATAGTTCAACATTTTGTAAATTATTTATTGATAGTGACGATGATGGTCGGGCCCTTTTGATTTCAATCCTATGTGAAGAATGTTCCAAATTCTTAATGTCCAATTTTACTTGATGTTTTCTGATAACCTCTCAAAATTCCTACTAATTCAACTTGTTTAGCACTCTTTTCTGAGTTTTGGGAGCTAATTGTGTAAGATTATTCCCTTAAAGCTAAAAAAATAGGGCTTGATGAAGCAAACTTTGATTTATGCTAACAATTAGGGATATTTGTGCAATGCTTCTAAGATTCTTTGTGCAAGAAATAGCAAGAGCTGAAAGATGAATGACAAGGAGAAAGATTCAACCGAGTTTGGGCGATCAGGGGAAGATCAAAGACCCAGAGCGAGTAAGGACGGAAAACTAAAAGCAGAGTAGCTGAAAAAGCACTGTCTGTCGCGGTGCTTGAAGAAAACCTCCATAGCGGCTCCAACAGAAAGGAAAGAAGGCATTCGATGTAAGGCACCGCGGCTCTTGTCCATATTTGCCGTGACGCCTAGTCTATCTCAAGAAGCTACCATTTGGTGTAAGGCATCATGGCACCTGTTCATATCCGCCGTGACGCCCAACCTTTTCCAAGAGTCCCATTCTGTGTAATCCGCCGTGGCGGACGAGCATATCCACCTCAGTGTCTACCTTCTCGCAGCTGTGTGATTTGCAATGTAACTTAAAAATTAGGGCATATAAGTGGGGGGATTCATGGTTTTTAGATAGACTTCATCTTGGGGGCTTATTTGGAGGTCTTCTCTGCTAGAGTTTGGAGGCTTAGAGGCTTGGGAGTGTTGGGCTTGAAGTTACAAGAGATTTGGAGCTCCTTCCTTCATTTTCCTTGGCTTTCTCCTTCCCTCCTCCTTTGTTTCTATAATGGCTGAGCAATATCTTTCTATTTGTAGCTCATTGCTGAACATGTATAGCTAGAGTAGTCATCATAGAGGTATTTTGATCTATTGTATGGATTAAGACTTGTTTTAACTCTCTCTTGACTGTTAATGATAATGTTATGTTGTTTTTATCTTGAGCTTACTGCTTTCTTGTGATCGGCCACTGTTTGGAATGATTTGTTGATTGGTTGAAGCTTGAGAAAGTTAAATTAATCTTTGAACTTAGGTAAAAACATGCTAGACTGGAAATTTATCCTATTAAATGGATGGTTTGTTGATAGAATAGAGATATATTTATTGACCTAGCATTGTCCAAAAAGGGTTTTGGTTTCCAAAGAGTAATCTTTTTAAAATAAAAGCAAGAGATTGTGAAGTTTTACTAAGATTGCAAAACTTAGTTTTGACTTGAGAAAGCTTAATCAATATTTGTGAACCCTGGACTAGCTTAACTTATTGTTAAACACTATTTGGGAAGTTGCTAGTCAAGTTTTATGAAATGTATTAGTGAGAAATAACCCTAGACCCTTATTTGTCTCAAAGTCAAGTTTATTTCATTTCAAGTCTAATCTTTGTTTTTAAAGTACAATTAAACAACTTCTTTCGCAACTATTATTTCACTTAACCTAATCAAGAGCACATTTATGATTTTTAACTCATTTGGCCTTAGTCTCTAAGGGAATGATACTTTTTATACTACTTACGACTCGTCCACTTGTAGTTTAGTTATTCTACGAACAAGTTCTTGGCACCGTTGCCGGGGACTAACGGCAAGATTATTTGTGGTTGATTGTCTTTATTGTGTGATTGGTTGCACTTAAGTTTTTCTTTTAGTGTTTGCAGTGATAGTTATAGGAAGAGTGGTAATATTTAGTTATTCTAGTTCATTTGATAAGTTTGATACTTTCACTTTTGATTTGATCTTGTAGGTACCTCTTCACGCATGCAAGGAAACTTAGAAGTTATTTTGGAAGAGGTTACTAAAGGCAAATCCAGTTCTGATGAAGGTGAGAACACACCAGAGATTCGATAGCAACCTCGGCTACTTCTACCACCACCACTTGAAATAGAACCACAAGAAAACATGGCAGAACAGGATGAGAATGATTTGTATACTCTAGATGACTATTCGGATAAGGAAGGGTGGACTTTTCATTCAACTATTCAACTACCAGACATTCAAGCTAGAAACTTTGAAATCAAGCCAGTCATGATTCAACTATGGGGGATGATTGATACTTTTGAAGGAAATTTCAATGATAATCCTAATGAGCACTTGACCAAGTTTGTCGAGGTGTGTGAGAACTTCAAGTAAAATGGGGTCTTTAAAGATGCTTTGAGGTTGAGGTTGTTCCCTATGTCTCTATCTCACAAGGCAAATGCATGGTTGAATTCCTTGTCAGAACATTCGATTAAGACTTGGGATGAACTTATGGCAAATTTCAAGGTAAGGTTTATTCCAAGAGGTAAGCAAGCTACAATGAGGGGTGAATTGCTTTCTTTTGAGCAACATCCGGATGAGCTATTCTATGAAGCCTGGGAGAGATTCAAGGACATGTGGAGGAATTGTCTGAATCATGAGCAGAAGAAATATGTCTTGATGGAAGCTTTCGAGAATGGGTTGAATGATCAAATAGTAACTATGCTCAACACCGCTTCAAATGGAGGAATCAAAAAGATAAAGGTAAATGAGCTATATCAATTGTATGAAGAGGTGGCCTCTAGCACTATGCAACAGTATGACAAGAGGAGGTAAAGTTTTGGGAGATATAAAAAGCCTAGTTCTTCATCATCTAGAGATATTGCATTACAACTTGAAGCGATCTTTAAAAGGTTTGATAACTTGGAAATGCAAATCAAAAAGGGCAATATAATGGGAGTTCATGCACTTCAAGCTCCTGTGTACACCTGTGATCATTGCAACAAGGAACATCATTCTGATCAATGCCCTTACACTTTGGAGACAGTCAATTATATGAACAATATGTAGCGAAGATCACAAGGAAGTCCTTATTCTCAAACTTATAATCCAAACTTGAGAAATCACCCAAATTTCTCATGGTAGAACGGGCCAGGTTTAAATCCCTCGCGAGCATCTTCTTCTGGTGTTAAGAAAATGGTGCTTTCTGGTTTTTATGGTTAGCAACAACAACAACCACAACAGCATCATTGTTAGAAGGAAGAATCCAAAATTAAAAAAATGTTTTCTTAGTTGTTGGCAACTCAAGAATCTGTAAGGGCTGAGAATAAGGCAACCTTCTCTCTTTTTGAAACTGCTATCAAGAATCTTGAAGTTCAGATGGGATAATTGGCTCCACAGATGAATGTTCTCATGAGGAATAGCCTTCCAAGTGACACCGTTCCTAATCCTAAGAGGGATGGTAAAGAGGATTGCAAGGCAGTCACCTTAAGGAGTAACAAGGTCCTTCTTGACAGTCTTGGTCCCAATGGAGCTGACAAAGAAGCTAAAAATGATGTGGCTATTGATCTTAACAATGGTGAAGAAGGGAATGAAGAGCTGATTGTTGAGGATGACAACAAGAAGAGAAAGCAAGCTGAAGAGAACTTAGAGGATGTGGTGAAAGGAGAGCATGTAACTTTTGATGTTACGGAGGAAAAGAAGAGGAAAATGCTTACCTCTCCTCCTAAATATGTGCCGCCACCACCTTTTCCTCAAAGACTTAAGAAATAGCCAGAGGATGGCCAATTCAAGAAATTTCTCAAGATGTTCAAACAGCTGCACATTAATATATCTTTGGTGGAAGCCCTAGAACAAATGCCAAGGTATGCTAAATTCATAAAGGATATCCTTTCAAAGAAGAGGTGGTTTATTGAGCATGAAACTGTAGTGGTGACTAAGAGTTTCATGGATGTCATCAAGCAAATTCCTCCTAAGCAGAAGGATCTTGGAAGTTTCTCTATTCCTTGTCACATTGGAAACAAGTTCTTGGGACAAGCTTTGTGTGATCTTGGAGCTAGTGTAAATCTAATGTCACTCTTTGTTTTCAATAAGTTAAAGTGGGTTGAAACTAGACCAACTACTGTTACATTGCAACTAGCTAATCGAAGCATGTCATATCCTTGGGGGATCATTGAAGATGTGTTGGTAAAGGTCGATAAATTTATATTCCCTATTGACTTTATTGTGCTTGACTTTAAAGCCGATAAAGAGATGCCTTTACTCCTTAGGAAACCATTTTTGGCAACTGGTAGGACCCTTATTGATGTTGAAAAAGGAGAATTAACTTTGAGGGTTAATGATGAACATGTGACATTCAACGTGCACCATTTGATGAAAGCCCCGAGCCAACATGTTCAGTGTTCTTTTATAGACATCATTGATCAGATTGTGCGAGATGATTTTAACAAGTCAATGTTTAAGGATCCTCTCGAAGCTGTGTTGTGGGGTCTTGAACCAGATGATGCAGAAGTAGTAGAGGTATTAGCATTGATAAATACTTCATCTTCTTACTCCAAGGGCCAAGCACTTTGAAACTTTAGACCTTTCATCTTTAGATAGACCAACTTTGAAGCCATCTCTTGAAGAGCCTCCAACGCTTGAACTTAAGGCTTTACCTTCTAATTTGCATTATGCCTATTTGGGCTCCAACAACACCTTACCTATGATTATTTCCTCTGATCTCACGGTTCAACAAGAAGAGCAATTGGTAGAAGTCCTTAAGGCTCACAAAAAGGCCATCAGATGGATAATTGCAGATATCAAGGGTATTGGTCCTTCTACTTGTATGCATAAGAACCTACCAAAAGAAAGTGTAAAGCCTCGATTGAACATCAAAGAAGGCTTAACCTAATCATGAAGTAAGTGGTGAAGAAGGAAATTCTCAAGTGGCTTGATGCAGGAATCATTTATCCCATCTCAGATAGCTCTTAGGTGAATCCAGTCCAATACATCCCTAAAAAGGCAGTATGACTGCAGTGGCTAACACCCACAATAAGCTAATTCCTACTCGTACTGTTACGGGATGGAGAGTATGCATGGACTAACGGAAGTTAAATACACTAACTAGGAAAGATCACTTCCCTCTTCCGTTTATTGATTACATGTTGGATAAGCTTGTCAGAAGGGAATTCTTTTGCTTTCTTGATGGGTATTCTGGCTACAATCAGATTGCTATTGCTTTGGAAGATCAAGAGAAAACAACGTTCACCTGTCCCTATAGAACCTTTGCTTTCAAACGTATGCCTTTTGGAATGTGTAATGCACCGGCCACTTTTCAACATTGTATGATGGCCATTTTTACTGACATAATTGAGCACACTATAGAAGTATTTATGAATGACTTCACAGTTTTTGGTGATTCATTTGATGAGTGTTTAATCAATCTAGCAAGTGTTCTACAGCAGTGTGAAGAAACCAACCTTGTCCTCAAATGGTAAAAGTGCGACTTGATGGTGAAAGAGGGCATTGTGTTAGGTCACCGAGTTTCCAAGAATGGATTGGAGGTTGACAGAGCAAAGATTTATGTGATTAAACAACTCCTCCCACTGATAAATGTAAAGGGTGTGAGAAGTTTCCTGGGACATGCCGGCTTTTATCACCGCTTCATTAAGGACTTTTCTAAGATCACCAAGCCACTTTTTGCTTTACTTGAAAACAATGTGGAATCCAAATTTGATGATGCTTGTTATAAAGCATTTGAAAAGTTGATGAAGAGACTTGTTTCTACTCCTATAATGATAGCCCCAGATTGGGGCTTGCCCTTCATTGTAATGTGTGACGCCAGTGACTATGCTATGGGTGTTGTACTTGGGTAAAAGAAGGATAAGGCAGTTCACCCGATTTACTATGCGAGCCGCACACTAGATGATGCTCAAGAAAATTACACCACCACAGAGAAAGAGTTACTTGCTGTGGTATTTGCTTTCTGACGTTTTGATCATAGCTTATGGGAGCCAAAGTCACTGTGTACACAGACCATCCAGCTCTTAAATATCTCTTCAGCAAGAAAGACTCAAAAGCAAGACTAATTAGATGGGTGCTTTTATTGCAAGAGTTTGATTTAGAAATTGTTAATAGAAAAGGCACAGAAAATCAAGTTGCTGATCATTTATCTAGATTGAATACTGATCCTCAACTCAAAGCGAACAAAAGGATTAATGAAACCTTCCCTAATGAGCAGCTCTTTGCTATAGCTCACACCAAGGAGTATTGGTATGCTAATATCACTAATTTTAGTGTTTGCGAGATCATTCCCTAAGATTTGAACCATCATCAGAGGAGGAAATTCCTACATGACATCAGATTCTACCATTGGGAGGAACCATTCTTGTTTCATCATTGTGCTGACGAACTGCTGAGGAGATGTGTTCCAAAATGTAAACAAGAAGAAATTCTAAGATGCTGTCATTCATGTGAATATGGAGGTCACTTTGGGGGGTAACAAGACTGCTGCAAAGGTCTTGCAATCTGGATTTTTCTAGCCCACTTTGTTCAATGACGCCTATGAATTTGCATTGACTTGTGATCATTGCCAATGAATGGGTAATATATCTAGAAGAAATGAAATGCCCCTGAATAACATGTCTGGGGAATTGACTTCATGGGACCATTCCCTAAGTCCTTCAACAATCAATACATCTCGCTAGCAGTGGATTATGTATCAAAATAGGTTGAAGCCATTGCCTCCCCAACAAATGATGCCAAGGTTATTATCAAATTTTTAAAGAAGAATATTTTCACCCGGTTTGGGACCCCAAGGGCAATAATTAGTGATGGAGGAAGCAATTTCTACAATAATCAATTTAGAGCTCTATTGAAGAAGTATGGTGTTAAGCACAAGGTTGCTTTGGCTTATCATCCTCAGACTAATGGCCAAGCGGAGATTTCTAATCGAGAAATCAAGAAGATATTGGAGAAGATGGTGAGACACATAAGAAAGGATTGGTCTACTAAGCTTGATGAGGCTTTGTAGACATACTGAATGACATACAAAATGCCTATTGGTATGTCACCATATAGATTGGTCTTTGAGAAAACATGCTATCTCCCTATTGAGCTAGAACATAGTGGGTATTGGGTTATCAAATGGCTAAACTTTGATGAAAATTAAAGACTGTCGGTAAGAAGCAACTCTTACAACTAAATGAGCCTAAGGAATTCTAGTTCAGTGCCTATGAAAGTTCAAGACTCTACAAAGAAAAGACCAAGAGGCTCCATATATACATGCTTCTTAATTATTTTATTCTGCAAATCATTATTTACTCTATGTTGTGTACTTTGTGCAGAGCTTGCATACACAATGGCAGTGACTGAGAAAGTTGATGTATATAGCTTTGGTGTTTTGGCCATTGAATTGCTTATGGGAGAGCATCCTGGTGATTTTATATCACATATTCAAATCCATGGGATTGGTCATATCAGCTTGGCACATATTTTGGACCCTTGCTTGTCATCAATGAAGCATCAAAACTTTAACAAATTGGCTTTGATTTGGCAAATAGCTCTTTCCTGCATACAAACCAACCCTCAATCTCGACCGACCATGAGAACCATTGCCCACATGATGGAAACAGAGACTTTGCATTAGACCTCATTCTTGTATACTTAGTTGGCTTGTGCATATATGTTTTATGCATATTTGTTTTTACACAATTCTTTATGATGCACTAATTTATGTTATTTTTATGTACAGGGACCAAGCGCTCAAGATAGCATCAATTTTCAAATTTCGTGCCCGTCATCTTTGTTTTTTTTTTTTTGTTTTTTACCAGCCGTCTTTGTTGTTTACTTGTGCTTTTGTTTACTTTATTGTAGTATTTAGTGTGGAAGATATTATAAATTATGAAATTTTTGTTTGGTGCTTTGTTGTGTAATACACACTTTTGTTACACTATGCTTTCGTTTATCTTTATTGTAATATATATTTGTTATATGCACAATTTTTTTAACTATATCCCTCGTCCATTCGATTTTTTATTTCCAGGGACCATTTATTTTTTTTCATATAAATAAATATTTCGTTTTAAATTTATCATCAAATTGAATGTTCTAATTGAAGACATTAAAAATTATGAATTTAGTTTGGTGGCATTGTCGTGTAATTCTTGTGTGGAACTGTTGGTACTTTTTTCTTAACGCTGTTATCTTTTATGAACTAATGAGTGTATATATCAACAAATAACACTTGTTTGGAATACTACTAATGTATTCCACCTAGAAAAACAAAGAAATTGACAAGGGAAAATTTCACATCTAAAGCCAATTGAACTAATAAAATCCCAAATCAGGTTGGTAAATTCAATAATTTTCTAATGGGTTAAAGTGTAATTTTAACAACAAAGTTTATCCTAAGGAGCACTGGGCACCATAAAGTTTATTTGAGTGCAAAAATATACATGAAGTTGTCAAAAGGGAGCATTTGGCACCATGCCGTTAACATCCGTCAGTTTACCATTAGAGGGGCCCAGAAAGTCAGTTTTAAGGTGCATTTTTAACAACAAAGTTTGCATCAAGGGGCATTAGGCACCATGAAATTTACTTGGGTGTAAAAATATACATGAACTTTGTAAAAGGAAAAAAATAACAAAATTCTTCAACTTCCATAAACATCCATTAATTTTATTCTTTTCGGTCTCACCAAATGCTATATTTTCTCTCTATAAATTTCCACTTCCAAACCGATCCATCTTTCTCTCATTATAGTCAACACGCATACTCTCTCTGTCATGTCGTTTTCTGAGCCTCCAAGCCTTTTATATGTATTTAAGCAAAACACATCTTTCCCTTCTAGGATATGAGGTTCATTCCTTGCATTTGAGTACTACCTCCAGTCCTTAATATAGGATCCAATAGACTAATTTGATGAGATTAAAATAAATAAATAAATTACTTTAAATATTATATTATTTATTTATTTGACACAATAGCATATAGTACATGATCTCTCTAAAATATTTATATGCATCATTAAATTATATATTAGTTTACAAGCCAAGAAAATTAATTTGAAGAAAAAACAATAAATATAATATTTTAAAGTAATTTATTTATTTATTTTTAATCTCCTCAAATTAGTCCATTGCATCCTATATTAAGGACTGGAAGTAGTATTTGGATGCAAGCAATAAACCTTATATCCTAGAAGGGAAAGATGTGTTTTGCTTAAATACATACAAAAGGCTTGGAGGCTAAGAAAACGACATGACAGAGAGAGTATGCGTGTTGACTATGATAAGAGAAAGATGGATTGATTTGGAAGTGAAAATTGATGGAGAGAAAATATAACATTTGGTGAGACCCAAGAGAATAAAATTAACGGACGTTTATGGAAGTTGAAGAATTTTGTTATTTTTTTTCTTTTACAAAGTTCATATATATTTTTGCACCTAAGTAAATTTCATGGTGCCTAATGCCCTTTGATGCAAACTTTGTTGTTAAAAATGCACCTTAAAACTGACTTTCTGGGCCCCTCTAACGGTAAACTGACGGACGTTAACGGCATGGTGCCAAATGCCCCCTTTTGACAACTTCATGTATATTTTTGCACCCAAATAAACTTTATGGTGCCCAGTGTCCCTTAGGGTAAACTTTGTTGTTAAAATTGCACCTTAACCCTTTTCTAATTGGGTAAAGTAGCACTAATACCCTAATCTTATTTTTCATGTGTATCTAGTATCCTAATCTTATTTATGGTGCATCTAACGCCTTTTTTTTTTTTTTGCACTCTCAATATCATAATCTTGTTTATTGTGTGCTAAACACCCTCAATCATAAAATAATATTGAGGTTGTGGATGTATCATAAATAAAATTATGATGTTAGGTGTATCTAGAAGATAGGGTGTTGTATGCT